TGTTATCAATACATCACAGCATTGTTTTACTACATAATACATACCAGGGCATGTTAGAGTGTTTTTCATAAACCATGAATACAGTTTAGCTTATTTAGTACTATTAAACTCTAATCCTTTCGTTTTCTATTGTGTTTATCTGCATATTATGTCCTTATTAGTACAGTTAGTTTCATGGGTTATAAACACTCTACTGTGTTAACATTAACAATACATCTTCAGCATTGATAACACAATCACATCAATACATCATAATTTGTTTTAAAGTCAGTACATCCATGTACAGAAATCTGAGAACAGTGTCCAAACGTTTTGGTGACCATAACACAATAATATTTATACCATGTGATGGCTAGCACAAGGTATAAATATTTGTATAATAATAAATATAATAAAAGGTGAATTGAAAGTCACTCCACTAAAACTAGTTTTTAATTTAGCAGTATAGCCAACTCCACAGGCTACCAAAGGGCGGATCTAGCCAAAATTTTAGGGGGGGAGTTTCTTCTGTCAACACAACGAAAAACAATAAAAACAGCATCTATTTCTTCAGTTTTGTTTTGTTTGTGTTTTCTGGATTCAGCCCCCCTTTGCCCCCCTGAATTCGCCCTTGCTACCCCATTACTCTACAGGTTTTTTTCCATCAGATTTCCTGTTTCCAAAGAAAGAAAAGAGAGAACAGGAATCCTGACTAGTGTTACCTGTGGAGGAAATAATCTGCAGCAATTGACAATCTCCAGATTGTCTTACCATATTATGTTTGACTAGAAAACAAATTGTTYCTCTAACACCAGATGAGATCATGTTTGATGTGAAGGATAAAAATATAGAGCAGTTACTCTTGGGACGGCCATTAGGAAGAACATCGACTTCAGGATGCTCAGTGTTCTTTTGAAAAGGTTCCTTCTTCTTTGCAATCTGTTAAGCAAAAATAAGAAAACTATAATTTTAAACTACAGCTTTGCAAGAGCCCTTGAAATATGATTTGAAATTGCAGTAGTTTTTAGAGTTTATAAAGTAGAAAGATCTAGGCCAACAATCGAAGTTTATTGTAGGCAGGTCATATTATTAGTTATTATAAACCACACTTATGCTACATGATTTACTAATAAAATAACTGTTCTAAATCTCCCTGTTCTGATTGGTTGGGAGTGCGTGCTTTATGAGAGCACACAGCACATGCACACACTTTCAGTTTTGTCATTCATGTGCTTGCTGTGCTGTGGTGGAGTTTAAAGCACTTGGGATTGGCAGAACACTCACGAAATGTCAAGAATCACCAATCTACGCATTCTCGTAACACTTCTCTTATGTTGTGCCAACTCCCACATGCTTTATAACAGCACTCAGTATGCATACTTTCTATTCCTTCAATAACTAGAGTCATATATGCACCAGTCATTTGACATCCCACACACCCCTTCCCCCCGAGGCATAGCGGGGATTTCGCCCCATTTTCACATATATTTGGTTCCCTGGTGGTCGGGGAAAGCGCTTTGATTCACAGCCTTTGGCTGCAACCCAGGGACTGACTGGGGACTACACTTTTCCTTTTTGGGGACTGGGACAGAGTGAGCTCCTCGTGTGAGTTTATGTAGTCATGAAGATTGAGACGAAGAAGGTAAGATTTTCATTGCATTTTATTATGTTTTTCTGAGCCATCGATTGAAAAATGGCTTTTTATTCTATTCTATGATAGAGAAAAAGACAAACAAAAAGGGAAGCAAATAAGCTGGTATTACATGGGATAAATATTGAACATCTCAATCTATTTCTTTGTCGGTGAACACATTTCTGGAAAAGACATGAAATATCCAGAGTTGACGTGGGGACCTCACTTTTATTTTCTTTCCCGCTGGGCAGTGTTTTCATTACCTTTCACTGAGGGAAAAAAGTGAATGCCCCGAATATGCCTGGGGGGGGGGGGGGGGGGGGGGGGGTGCAGGGGATGTCAAATGACTGGTGCTTTATATAAATAGTACTAAACGCATCTATTTCTCTTGTTTTCAATTCTTTCATTGGTGCTATTTTGTACTAATTAGTTAGTACTATTTCACGGAYATAAGGTTTGCACTACTAATTACTTCTACTACTGCTGGTACTGCTAATTCTGCTGCTGAAACATACACCAACAACTTCTTTACGTTGGAAGCACGTGTTAGTACAACCATGTGCACGAATATAATACACACCATTTTGTTTATCTCTTCTACTGCATTACCAAAGTTGGTTGCTTGAAATCCAGTGTGTTTAAACGATTTCAGTAATGCATGATAGTCAATTCCTTTTCCAAAATCATAACCCTCAACAACCTCGGCGGTTTCTGGCATAGGATCGCTCTTGCAAAACGCAGATTCAACTGCTATACAAGGTGGGATAGACGCCATAATTGCAACCTAAAGGATTTACGTCTGGCGTTCCTAGCTCTTTACCGGTAATCCAAAATAAGAGATTGGTATCAAGCCTCGACCCAGGCCGGTATTGGCTAATGAAATCACAGGAGACCTACTTCTACTAAAACGCGATTTTTTTTTTTCTTTTTTAGGGCTGTTTCACAATTATACATTTCAAGTTTTAATACTGCCTTTTTATTGCCTCTTTCAAAGGACGCAATTTGTATGTTGGGAGCTCGAGCCCTGTGGAGGGAGACAGGACAACAGCTTAGAATGCTTAGAATGGAGTGCCTAGTGAGAAAGATTAAAACCAGTAACTGGATGTCTTTTATTAATAATAGACACATCCCAGCAGTACATAGAACCACGAAACCAGGTAACAGATAACAGAAAAGTACATGGGCTGAATTGCAAGATGGACTAATTTTGTTGATACATGTAGTTTTGTTTCAGACTTTATCAAGTGTTGAAAATATTAATCAAGAACATGACTTCACTGTAAACAGTAAAGAAGGATTTAAACTGTACGAGCATCACATTCAAACATCATTTATCCAAAAAGCAATGCTGGCAGCTGGATCTGCATTTATGGGCTTGTATGATCCCACACGTCAAGGTACCATTTCTAGGCCTGGGGAGGAGGGTGTGACACAGTGACTGCATGTATGGCTTAAATACTAACAGAAAATGAATAATTGAGGCTATAAATTAAGAAATTGTGCATGCACCCAAGATTTCATCAGGATTTACATGCAGTATGTATCTCACTCTCTTAATGTATATTAATTATTTAATGATAGACATGATAGCCGCCTTAGGTGAGACCACAGGATACCCAGCACTTAAATGGATGCACTCAAGAATGCTAAATGATCCTGTTGGATCTGAAATACTAAGGTATCTGCTATTAAATAAAAAAGTGAGCTAATTATAGTGTATACAGATTTCTTTTATTCTATAATGTATTTTTGGAATGAGGGTTGAGACTTCATGGTTGAAAACGAGGGCTGAGACATACATCCTTTTATCAGGGTGGTTTACAGGTGTAAATTCATGATGCATAGTGTGTGACATATCTGTAGACCTTATTTGTGGTGTGACAATGTTTTCCCAATTCAGCGTGACAAACCTCCAGAGGATTCATTTTCTTTTGTTTTTACTCTTCAAAAAATTCATGAGCATCCCAAAGGATACGAAAGGTATACCGATGATATCCCGACGAGTTTCAAAACAATAGCTCTTCATTCCCCCAGAAGTTTGTCATGCTGAATTGGGAAAACATTGTCACACCACAAATAAGGTCTATTAACATCTCTGGAGTTGAAGAAGGGACTGGAAATAAGTGTAGAAATATAGATTTGATTRAGATACAAACCCCATCACATGAAAGAATGTTGGGCAATTACTACTGTAACTCATCAGGCTTAGAACAAATTATTAAAATAAGAATAGTTTATGGTTTTTAGGAATGCTGTCCTCAAACTCCATACATTATTCCTTATTTCTGTGATTTTTAAAAGCTTGCCACTCACTAGGTATTTCATCCAAACATGTTCAAACTTGGTGTCGATATATAGCACCAATTTGTTAGACATGACTTTTTTTGTGACAGTTTTTTTTCTTAATTAAATTGATACTTTCACTCTGCCCCAATTCCTTTCTTATATATTTAATAGTCTGTGCATTGCTGTTGCAAGGGATGGAGGTGAATAAAGACTCTTTCTCCCACTCAATAATAATTGCAGACTGCCTCTAAATTGATTGAAGTCTGTTATTAACCAGCTATAATTCAAGTAATATTTCAAAGCCGACAATGAGGACTGGACGGGATTTCAAGACTAAGCAATTAGTTGCAGTCCGAGGCGGAGCCGAGGTCCGACTGGAACTAACTGCGCGGACTTGAAATCATGTCCAGTCGGATATTGGAGGCTTTGAAATGACTTCTCATCTCAYTAATTGTTCGACTTAGAGTAACTGGAACAAAATTAATTCAGTCCTAGGAGAAGAAGGGACTGAATTCCTAGGACTGAATTAATTTTGTTCCAGTTACTCCAGACTGAATGCATTCCTTTCACAGCACTATACCAGGTTTCAAGTAACATCATGTGTCCCAAAAATACCTCATTGATTGGATGGTTTACTCATGAATTATTAATGAGTATGAGAATGTAAAACACACAATAAAACACAATAATCAAGCAAACACCACACTGTCGTGAGCTGTCTTGCATCCAACCAATCAGGAACATTTTTAAAACATCACACCACAAACTTACCATGACAGAGGGGCTTAATTTTTCCAAGAAATCATTAACTCTATAAATTTTCCATCATCTTTGTTCTGTTTTGCCCCCTGGAAAGATGGCCACCATATTGTTAATGTAGTCCATTGGCCACTTTAGAAACCAGCAAGAGACTTAAGATAGTTTAAAACTGAAATCTAATTTTGATAAGTTAGTGATCAATGTGAGTTAACGCATCTTTTAATATTAGGGTTAAGCCACGTATCACTGGAAAAACAGCACCAATCATTGAACTAAGGAATCTACCTGATGGTACTTTAGGGAGAGAGTATGCAAGGTTTATGGATAACAATGTATGCTTGGCAAAACTATTTGTTGTACAAATTCACATAATTTTATTATTGTACTTACGTCTATTTAATGTTTTTTTAGTGTGACCGAGAAACTGGCAAAGTGTAATAGTCTTACATTAATGTCATCAAGGATTCATCAGGATTTCGATGTGCCAATAATGATTTTTTTTTTGTTCCAGAAAATATCTGCTGATACAAGAACTGCAGTAAGTGTACAACTAGATTAGATGGAGTGTGTGGTTGAGGTCATTGATCAAAAATTAGAGGAGCACCAGTTGGATGATCAATGCCTAGTTTTATTGTACATTTAACAACCACCTCGCAGTTGGTTCAGTTGTTTGGCACTGGTCTTTGTGTAGGACGTGGGTTCAAACCCTGTGTTAGACCAACATAAAGCATATTAAAGGGGCACTTGGATGAAATTCAATGAAAATTGGAAATGACTTTAAACTTGTTTAAAAACTTATCTATATGACCCAGATAGTAGCCAAGCAACACACTTCCTTCACAGTCAAAAGTGGCAGGGGAAAATTATCAATTTTATTCAGCATCTAAATTGTGATTAAATGACTTCATTTACTCAACCCTATTGTTCTTTTAGCTTTTAACCCAAAATATCTCAATAGCAAGTGGCTCCCAGGCTAAAATATTGTATCTGATTTTCATAATCATATTGAGTATATTATCCTCAAATACAGATTTCAGACTTTCGAAAATACGGACTTTGGACTTTCAAAATCAGGGCATTTTCATCCAAGTGCCCCTTTAAAATAACTATTTATTGAACTAAAGTCATGCCAAGCTTCAGGCACTCTTAGCAGAAAATCAAAACCCCCTCCCTCCCGACCTTTGTGATTTTTAGCCAACACTAGCAATAACCACAGCCAATAAAGCAAAATTGTTCTTGTACATGTTCCAGGTAAAATTTGTTGATGATAAGGAATTAGCATATGTTATGCAACGATACAGAGATGTGCATGACTTCGTACATACCCTTAGTGGTATACCAACAGTAAGGTATATATTTATGCATGCCACTTTTATGGAGTCTTTTATGATGGAATAGAACCGTTTCGAATCCCAAATTACTGCTGTGTTTCTTGATTACAGACTCATTTGCACAGGGTTAGCCTCAAGTTTGTGCAGAATATTCACTTGTTCCAGTCAAAGTCCGTCAAGTTTCAAAATGTTTGTATTGTTGAAGTTGTGCATTCTTTACTTTACTGTTGGTATTTGTGAATATTTAGACACTGATACAAGGCTGTGCAAATGAGTCTGTAATCAAGGAACACAGTGGTAATCTGGAATTCGAAACTGATCTATTATACTAACTATCATTTTTATTTTTGTTGAAGCATTGCAGGTGAAATTGCTGTCAAATGGTTTGAGTTCACTCAGACTCAGCTGCCAATGTGTGCACTTGGTGCAATGTTTGGCCCTTTGAACATCAATGTCACTGTCAAGTATGTAATTTAGAACTTGATTTTTTACACTCTTGTACTTTTTGCTCATTTTTATATTTCACTTTTTATGTTACAGAGAAAGAAGAGATTTACTTATGCACTACATTCCTTGGGCTGTTTCTGCAGGGTTACAAGCAAACTTTTTCTTGAACGTGTTTTATGAAAAACGGTTTGAGGATCCAATAGACTCTATAAGAGAGGAACTAAATCTGATTCAAGCACCCAAAGTCTAAGGCTTTTAATTTTGTTTTCTAATTATGCAGTTATGTATATACAACACGCAGATCAAATTCTTATGTTTCATRAACTATAAGATCTAAAGGGAAGCATGGGTAATGTACAATGCTAATGTGTAGCCTCTCACTAATGTGACCCAGGCTTGAGTCCCACTGCTCTTGGTGAACGTAGCGGGTGTGTAAGACAATGTAAAACAATCAAACTCTACACCCAGGGGGAGGGTACTCTTGCCTGTTTAGGGTAGGGATGTGTCACTGAGCCCTCTGAAATTCATGCCTTGTTCCAGAGGAAAATCGCTGAAAACCATACCCTGTTGTATTTTAAAAACCTGTTCCAGTACTTGCAAAAATAGATACCCTTGTTCCAGAGAGAGAGCATGATTTATATACCCTGCTCCAGAGAGCAAGCATGATTTTACATTACCCTGTTCCAGAGTAGAACAGATGAAAACCATACCCTGTTTTGCCGCACATTCCTGTATAGTGAATGTGGGAGAGTTCCCCAGTACCCCTACCACCCCCTAGGATTGTAGAAGGAATTCAAAAACAATGCTAAACAAATGCTAAGCCAATGCAAAACCTAGACTGCACGAGAATGGTAACCTGACCCTTTTACAAGTAAACAAATAGATAGCCATCCTCATTTTTCTCATGGGAATAAAAATCTTGATTTGTTGATGGGCTATTATTTTCTACTGGCCCCTGTTTGGCTCTACTACCCAAAGCTGTAATGTATTGTTTTCAATGTAAATTTGATTGGTTCTTGCTGTCTAGGGGGCCCCAGTTATAGAATGCCAGAACTAGGCTCCAAACTAGGTGAAAGGCCAAAGTTTAAATTGGAATTTAGAAGTTGATTTTTGAGGAGGGAGAAACTGTAGAAAACACTGTAAAGTTGTTTGTTGGTTCTCTCCTGTGTAGTATGTGAGTTTAGTTGTTTGTTGTTTCTCTCCTGTGAGAAAACACTGTAAAGTTGTTTGTTGGTTTTCTCCTTTGCTTCAATGGGTTTTCTCCAGTTTCTCCCTCCTCAAAAATCAACTTCTAAATTCCAATTTAAACTTTGGCCTTTCACCTAGTTTGGAGTCTAGTTCTGGTGTGATTGCCCCATGCTGTGATACAACAGCCAAAACTTAATATTTTTTGATGGATTGTACAACATGAACTTTTCATTTTGCAGTCTAATGTGGTAACCACTGAACCCAAGACCATTGCTTTGTGCTCTCTGAAATTCTGCACAATTTATTATTTTGTTTTGCTCTCAAGAAGGGATAAAAAATCTTTCTGTAAAACCAGACTCCATACAATGTTTTTGATATGATATAAGTAAGTTGAACACCATATACACTGTAATTTAAAACTAATCTCATTAGACATTTCAGGGTTCAGTCCCCAAAGTTTAGTTCCCCAATCCAAAAAGTCTTTAATGCTATATTCATCTTCAAAAACTGGTTTTTACTGTACAAAATAACCTAAAGTCAGGATATTTGTACTCACTCCAGATGTTTTCTGGCGATGTGGGTACTCTATTGTTGGATAACAACAAGGTGAACTTAACACATTTTATTGTACACTGTCATTGCTATGTTACATATTGTTTTATTCAAACCTTACATCATAATACACAATACTAACAAATATGAGAACCTTGTTTTTACCTAAACTAATCTCTTCTTAATGGGAAAGCCTCTTCCTTGATGCCATCTTTAGTGATGACACTGATGACGACTGCATCACCTGTATAAATGTCCCTTTCACATGCAGCTGAAAACACATCTTTAACCAGGGATACAGCTTTTGCTTGGGTCAATGGCTTTGGTTCTACACCTTGATTCTTGAATCCAATCTTTTAAAAGAATTGTAAACTTAATGTGGTTCAGTTCTTCTAGTGTTAAAATATACATGCCTGTATGGTTACAAGACAATACTGGTATACTGTACCTGATTGTCAAGTAGTGGTTGTAATATACATGCCTGTATGGTTACAAGACAATACTGGTATACTGTACCTGATTGTCAAGTAGTGGTGGTAATATACATGCCTGTATGGTTACAANTACTGTACCTGATTGTCAAGTAGTGGTGGTAATATACATGCCTGTATGGTTACAAGACAATACTGGTATACTGTACCTGATTGTCAAGTAGTGGTTGTAATATACATGCCTGTGTGGTTACAAGACAATACTGGTATACTGTACCTGATTGTCAAGTAGTGGTTGTAATATACATGCCTGTATGGTTGCAAGACAATACTGGTATACTGTACCTGATTGTCAAGTAGTGGTTGTAATAAAGCAGAAGCTGAACCACCAGCACGGTAGATCTCTCTTTCATAGGATCCAACCGGGTCAAAGCTAAATACACAGCCTTTACCTATTTCAAGCCAAATAGACTGTTTGTTATACAATATCTTCAACACAGGCACTATTATATCAAAATTTGCCTTTACCTTCAGTATCTAGACCAGCCAATATATTGTAAGTGTAGTATGGAAAAAATCTTCTGTAGTACAACATGGTAGAAAGCATTTGAGCAATAGCTGGACAGCTAAAAGGAAGCAATGAGAAAACATTAAACTCTTACCCCACCAATTAAATCTCACAGCAATACAAGCAGTAAGCCTAAGCAAACCTAAAACTTGCACTCAAGCTAGAAATGTTGACCAAAAACCAATCAAAGGTAAGAGCAATATGTCAATTCATTTTTAATCTTTGCATACTAATATCAGGATGTCTATCATCATTGGCCTTCACTTTTTTTTTAAATCAAGCACTATGTAAGCAAGGTATGTACTGTACGTACTCTTGTTTCTTAAATTGTTAATAATGCAAATAAATAGGCTATAACGTCGCGTACAGGAATTGTCATGGGAATTCTATTCAAATTCAAATTTCGAGTAGTCGTACCCTATGATAGCATAAATTAAGCTATAATAAACATATATTTACACATGGTAATGATACATTGTTTAAATATGACTAAAAAATAAGACCACTTGAGCAAATTTGCTTCGTGGCCGAGTGGTCAGGTTTAGAGTTAGTTCTTGGCTTGGCATTGGTATTGTAGTAGTTCTTTGGCACCGAAGGTGTCAAGTTTGATTCTTGGTGTCTTCACTTAATTTTTTTCTAAGTGAGGAGAACCAAGATCCTCGAAAAATCTCTAAGTCCCATCCATATGTTTGGAAACCTATGACGTACTTCGTTAAGCTGTACATGACGATACAATCAATAGCATTGACTATTATTCTTTGATTGTACATCATGTGATCACGGCCATGTTCATGGGTGACCTGTTTTTTTCACATCTCTTTGGATTGCTTCCAAGCACAACCCGGGTGAAAAACAATACCTCATTTTCTTGCCATGCTCATGTTCATACATCTATAAAACAAAAACAGGACATTAAAAAAAAGATACAAAATATGCAGCTTACAAAGATGAAAATTTTTTAGTTTACCTGCAACCTAGCTGTAATGTGTTTGGTCAATGTAAGACAGTCTCCATGGAATCCAGTACATCCAAGCACAGTTGACTGAGTTCTAATGATAAAATAAGATATGTCTTGAGAGACCAGAGTTAATAGAGGGGAATATAATGTATATTTACTCACAGATTATATATCTTGGAACTGTCTCGCGTGTGAATTTGAAAGCCTTGACTTAACCTTGTATCAGAGGCAATAACTGCAAAGTCTTCACCAGAGATGGCAAGAACCGTGCTATTTATAAAAGCGAGAAGAAAAGTTATAAACTTGAGATTGCTGAGTCATATCACGCGCTTATTTCCTAACGAAAAAAACATTATGATCAATAAACTTACCCTCCATTTAAAGCATATGGACTAAAATATTGCTGTACTGGTGTTGTTTTGTAGTACGCTTCACAATCTACGCTCATTTTTGCAAGTACAATGTTAAATTCCACCTCTTCTTTTCAAATTCTAGATCCAATATGGCTGACTATCCCAGAATGCATCACGTTTGGCAGATGCCGCTGTCCATAAGGATCGCGGTAATACTGCTGACCACATGTCAAAAAAGAAACACTTGATCAGAAATGGTAAAATCAAATCTTTTCTTTCTGATGCTTTCTTATTACGATAAATTCTGAATTCGTGATCAATGTTATTGTTTTTCAGTTGTTTTATTCATTTTTCAAGTCCCTAGTGGGAAAAGAAGTTATTGTTGAACTCAAAAATGACTTGAGGTATGATAATAAAATGTTCGTATAAGACTACTTTTCCTTCCTATCCGATATTCACTTTGATATTATATTGTTATATTTTCAGCGTACATGGAACTCTCGACTCTGTAGATCAGGTACCTTGGTAGATAAGCTTATTTCATTTTCTTCAAAGCAGGGGGATTGCTGCACCCTCCCTACCCCAATGGGCATGGGATGACTGTTGTCTTTGTAGAAACGCTGGGTAACAAAAGAAAATATGAATACATATTTGATTGAAATAATCAATGAAAACACTTTGTCTCACCTTGTCCACACGTTATTGCAATAACGATTTTTTTCCTAAACTTTTATAATAGATACTTCATATTAAAAATTCAAGATTTAATGAAAGAAATCTACAAATTTCACATGGTACATGGACTTGACCTGGGTGGGGGTAATCCCTTATATTCGCTATATGGGTATGTGCCGCCAAACAGGGTATGGTTTTCAGCGATTCTACTCTGGAACAGGGTATATAAAATCGCGCTAGCTCTGGGACAGGGTATATGAAAACACACTCTCTCCTCTCTGGAACAGGATATCCATTTTCGCAATACCGGAACAGGGTATGATAATTCAGCTATCTTGCTCTGGAACGAGGTATGAATTTCATCGATTTTACTCTGGAACAGGGTCAGGGTTCAGTGGGCTCAGCAGCACATCCCTACCCTAAATGGGCAAGAGTACCTCCGGGGGACTTGAAAGGAAAACCCTTTACAGACAGAAATGATAACCTTTATCTTTTAAATTTGTTATTTTTATTGGTTCTTTTTGAAATGCCTTCTACCTTCCTAGCCCTTGTAATTACTCGAACCTTCGGCAATCGAATCGTTTGATTGCAATTCACTGTCAAAGAGATACATCACAGAAATGTGGTCAAATCCATGCAGTTATGTAAACTGGAACGAAATTGAAGTTAGTATCATGTTATCATCAATATGTTCAACCCAATTAACTGTAAAATGTACATCCTAGTTAAGGACAAATTCACTGACCTTTATTTTAGTTTGGATGATTTGTTACAGTTCCTTTTTTCTCCTATACTTTACATCATTGGAATACAATACCATAAAAAAAGAAAAGAATATTTAGTTTTTCCAGCATTTGTTGTTTTGAATTTGCTCTATTCCTACATGATTTCATATCATTCTATTGAGTTTGATTTAGTCGAGTTAAGTTCAAAAACCAAACTCTAATAAAACACTCACAAAATGTTGGCGATTTGATTTATTCAATTACCGAACACAATCAAACCTTGTAGTTCAATGGAGTTCGATTGGATTGGATTTGAATGCCAAACTGTTCAAGTAATTATGTCGGGCCATAGTTAGCTCATGGATCTGCTTGCAAGCCCATCCTTGTAATTATGATTATTATTGATGATCTCCATCTCATTAATTTTGTTTTAGTTCTTGAATCTCAAGATGACAGATATTGATGTTACAGATCCAGAAAAATACCCGCATATGGTAAGAATGCTGCAAATACCAACCATACACGTCATATGTTACACCCACTTTTAACAGGTGGACATGCGAAGCGTAGAAATGAGTTATTGTGATGGGTCTGAATGTGCAAATGTGTCACTCACTCACTCACTCACTAAGATGTTAGCACATTGATAATTAAATGTTTACAGTCAAACAAGCTCAAGTGTTAACCCCTAGAGTCGATTAATGAAATCATTAGTCAATTATTCCTTTTATATGTATGAACCAGAATAATGCAATATTGCAATATTCAAATGAAAATTAAGTTCATTATTCGACTTGTGATGAAGAAGGTAAATCATTTAAATTACAGATATCTTTGAGCAGAAGTCGCTCTCTTATTTCATAAGCATACACACTAGGTTTTGTAATTTCCATGCCTCAATTACTTGGAAGATATCATCAGTAATTTCGTTGGGAACGTTCCCGCCTTGAGCGAATGGAGACACAGTTCCATGTCGTCGATAATGTTGGAGTATTTTCTGGACTCCTCAACTAGAAATTTTCAGTTGTCGAGAAATTGCTTTATTGGGCAATCCGCTATCGCTGAGATGGAACAATTTTTTGTCGAATAATATCAGGTAAAGGCCTTCCCGGCACATAAACACGGCCAAGACTATTTCTGGCCCCCATGTTTTCTTGATCTTCCTGTGTTAGCACTGATTAACCAATCAAAATGTCGTATATTGAATTTAAAGTTGATTGGAATTTTCATATCTTAGTTTTCGAGGTCGTAAATTTCAACTGAATGATGAAATCAAAATTCGAAAATTCAAATCATTAATCGACTCTAGGGGTCAACGCGTGAGCTTGTTTGACTGTATTTATCGTCTTAATTTAAGTCATCTGCTTATAAATGTTACACAACACTAACAAGTACAAGTTCTTGTATGATAAACAACACATTGGCTATTTATAAGAGGAAATGAACTTCTGATGTTGCATGTGGGGTATTTCTATCACTGTAGACCCACTGTGCTGTGCACACTCACACATAGTTTTATCTTCCTATCATTTAATTAAAGTGCTACTCTGACGAAAATCGCTCAAACTTGGATTCAGCTGAAACTTCCTAAGAATACTCTAAAGGTCCAATAATCTCTATATGCAGGATGAAAGTATAATGTTTTTACGATTATTTTTGAGTCTGTGACGTCATACACTCAACATCGAACATCGCTCCATACATTTCTTTGTAGTTTATGATCAAGATATCAGTAGTAAAGGAAGAAAGAAATACCCAAACACCCCAAAATATAAATTATAGTCACAAGTAATGTGAAATAAGCACATTAGCCACCCTTTGGGCTTCATAGGAATAAAATAAATTAAGGATTTATATACAAAAAAATATATGTTGCAATGTTTGATGTTGAGTGTATGACATCACAAAAATTATTATCGTAAAAATATCATACTTTCGTCCTGAATATCAAGAAAACACTTCATACAGTGATTATTGGACCTTTAAAGAGTATTCTGAGGAAGTTTCAGCTGAATCCAAGTTTGAGTGATTTTCGTCAGAGTAGCACTTAAAAAGTAGCACGTAAAATAATACAATTAATGGCTGAACTAAAATTTCTGAGTCAAACCTTTTTTGGTGATGTAATAAAGCGAACAGAAATGCTTATGTACAAGCTTCAACATATTTAGATTTTTCGTGCATTTTCAGTTTATGAATCTAAAAGCAGTGGAATGTTCTTCCAGAGAGTATAAAGCTGGCACTATCTGTGAACTCTCTCAAAAAGCCGTTAAAGACATTTCTTATGACTTGCTTGTCTGTGGCAGCCCAGTCATAAAATGCCTTGTTTTGCCAGTTTTTTGTCTTTCCGTGAAAATTGCAAAGTTGCGTGAGTGTACCCACATATGAATTGAATGACGTGTTCCTAGATAACAATGGCTCATATGCTGGTTTAGCAGATGATGCTGTAACTCCGAGCTCTAAAAATAATATAATTGAGTGGTAAAAGAAGATATTTAGGATCGTAATTCAGATATTTATGAGTATTGATACAACTACCCAGTCGGCATGTATTCTGGCTTCAATTGCTTTGGTTAGTAGGCTAAATACAGCTTTCAGTCAAAACTTTTTTTTGGAAATATAAGATATACTTATTTCAATAAAGTTAGTCACCAAAAACCTAGAAAGCTTTGATCACTGAGAATTATGGGCAAATGTTTTATATCCAACAAGTAAAGCTTTTGACACAAACTGCAGCAGTTGAGGATGCCCAGAGGAGGTCGACTTGTAACTGGTAGAAGATCTCAAGTCCATCAACAGTTATCAAGCGGTTGAAACGTAAAATGTATCTACCCATAATCATTGTCGGTCTCAGCTTTGTACCTTTTCAGGTGACTAACTTTATTGAAATAAGTGTATACATATGAGTATATTGTTAAATACTATGTGTTAATAAAGCAACTTTGTCAGTAAGATACTTTTTGCTGAGTTTTAAATCATTTTACTAATCGAGTTACATTCCACTTCACTGGTTTGGATAGTTTAAAAAAACACTTTTTTCAAGAATGTATTCAATAATTGAGAGATCGAGAACTTCAGAAAGTTAGCTTGTCTAAAAGGGCCTAGATTGTTGTGCCGTCATTCAAGATGAAGAGTAGTCAAATCAGTAATGCAATGCTGTTTCTCCACCACCACATTTGTATATTTGCATGAATCCTTTTACTAAGTCTTATTCCACTTCACTGGTCTGGATGTTAAAAAACACTTCAAGTGTGCATAAAAAGGATCAACAGGCAACCCAGTGCACACTCCAAGAGCATCTTGTTTTCCAATGATGTTGCTTCTCCAACATGATTAGTCTCTTATGCAGCTGCACTCCCACACTAATAGCGGCTGAGTAGGAGACTATAACATAATCTAATGATAATCAGTTTCAATATTTAGTTTGTTCCAATCAATTTTTTCATCAAGTTATATTTTTTCTTTGTATATAAGGTTTTTATCTCGTAAAGTGCAATGAGACTTTTTTATGGAATGTGCTTGATAAGAATTAAAGTTATCATTATATTGTAGTAAAAATACACAGGTGATTACTGAAAATATCAGGTGCTGTTTGGTCAAGAAACTCACACTTCCACATGATAATCACCTCCAGCAATAATCCAAAATGGCGGCCAGCCGCTTTGTTACTGTTAACGAGAAAAATTTTCTTTTATCTTCTTTTTTTTTTTTTTTGAAAGAATCACCTGTGTATTTATACTAAAACAATTATTTGCCTCAGCCTCAGTGAATATCAAAGAATATTTACCCCAATGCTTGAAGACTCACGTCTCGGTAAATATTCCCCAATATTCAGTTAATCGCCTTTGGTGAATAATTATTGTTAAATATCTTGCATAATTGATGTTTTATACTCTTTTTTTGAATACATTTATTTTTTAATAATTTAACAAAATAAGAAATTGGTGGCTCAAGATTATTTGTATTTATCACAGCAATCAGTCAAGAATTGTTTTATAAGGGGTTCAATGGATTATTTGTGTTTATTATTACAGCAGTCACTCAAGAATTGTTTTATAAGGGGTTCAATGGATTATTTGTGTTTATTATTACAGCAATCAGTCAAGAATTGTTTTATAAGGGGTTCAGTGGTCAGATATGTCCAATTACCAGCAGAAGAAGTGGACACCCAGCTTCTACAAGATGCTACAAGAAAAGAAGCAGCACAAAGCAAGACTTGATTCATTCCAAACTTGTGTCTAGTTAAACAAAGTCTGATTGATCTAAAGCTGAACATGTTTGCCAAAAAGAAATAGCATTTCTCATTTCATAAGAAATATTCTGAGCTACATTCCATGCATTTTTTATGATATCAGTACCCATGAATAAATGTGCATTTTCTGTTCATTTTGCATAAGCATTTTAACAAAAAAGTGCAACCTTCTTGGAAGTCGTCACTAAGGCTGTTAATAAAATGGTTATCAAGACAGATGCTTTCAAAATCAATCCAATAAAATGAGCTAAATCATACTTCCAGTACACAGTTTCATATTTCAGCTCAGATTGTACACTGGTTCCAGAGCCTTACATTCATAACCAGCGGTGCTTTCCAGTGGTAGGTTTTGCATTGGAGATAACAGAAAGCAAACATACCATAAAATCTGTCACTAGGCCTTGCCATTTATTTGTAGTGGCATGGTTGGCTTACACTGCCATTGCTGTGGCACTGTCCTTGTTTGCTGTGTAGTTCACACCTGGGGCCAGGTTACGATTCAATTCCCAACTGAACCACATGCAACTTGTATTTGTTTGATGTATTGCTATGAGGTTTTTTCTCTGGTTTTCCTCTCTCCACAAAAATCAGCATGAATCGTGTTGTTTTTTGTAAATAGTCAATGTATAGTAATAGTGCATGTGGAGCAAACCTCATGGAAGAGCTTCTTCACCCCCCCNCCCCCCCCCCCATCACTTAATTGGGTTTCATCAGCATCTTATATAAGACTCAGATATCACAGGGTGAAAGGATGTTTGCATTAGCAAGGTAGTGGCTAGTTGGCTTGAATGGGGGAGGGAGCTCAATTCAGTTTTTACTTTTGAACAAATTCATACAATTTATTGATAAAGAGTTTTTCAAATCATCCTTTATTATTGGCAATTAAAGCTACTTCAACAAGGAACATGCTTGCATGGCTGGATAATTAATTACTTGTAGTACAGGTTTGGCTAATACTGATAGATTATGAAGAACTTTATTTTATACAGGACAGTCCAGCTATTGCTTAATATATTCTTGCATAAAATGCAAGCAGCTATTTTGTAGCATGAAATTGAATAGAGCAAAGGATATTTTCTCTTATTTAGTATTCCACAAGGTTAATGTGAACTAACTAGTAGCCTGTCATTTTTTGCCCTTGCCGCCTTGTTCAAATGTTTTTCCTTTGTCCTTTCCACGGAGTTTTATTCCTGAAACATGATTTAATATTGTTCATTACATATTTTACAAGTAATAAGGTTAATAAAAACTTCAGACACAGTTTAGAGAGGTTTTAGAGTGAACGGGGAAAATAGGCTTACTCAGTATGATGATAAGAGGTTGAAGGTGGCATAACAGTTGATTCATAATGAACATTCCCCTTAACCTCTGGGGTCTTGGGAACCCATGTTTGTTTGGTCTCTCAATTTAATAACTTATTTCTTAAGGATTTTTCGTGAGATTTTCAAGTTTTCCTCCCTCCTTGACACACCTTAAATTCCATTAGGCCTCTTAACCTTTATAAGCAAATCTCAGAGCATGTGACATTCCCCTAAGAATTGTTGATCTTTTATGATGAGAACTTTAAAATATATACATACTTTTATAAGACCAGAGGATATTTCAGAATATCAATAACATATATTTGAAGGTTTGAATAGATAACCAAGTTAAAGGCTAATGTTTATGTATGTCGTTGATCTTACCAATTACTCTTTCAATCTTGCCCAGGATTTGATTGTTTGGAATTGCTTTTCCTTGTTCGTATTCGATTATAACATTTGGTTTTTCATTGATTTTCTGCAATTAACCCATAAAAAGCAAAACCAAAATATAAACTCTGCAAATGCAACTTTTAAAGAATTATGCTACTAACTCTAACTGTCATCAGACAATGGCCAGCTACCAGAATTAAAACTGGTGAAATATTTGCCTTGTCAGTTATTTTGACCATTAATGTTGAGTCATAAATGAGGAATTATTGAGTTTAGACTATTGATTCAGTCAGTTATTATGACCGTAGACTGACAAACATTAATTTAGCACTGCAGCTGTCAATATATAAAATAAATCAATTTAGAGAAGCATAAGAATTTAAACTAGGTTTTGATCCCCTGGATTTCTATGATGGATAAGCAAAAAGAATTCATAAGCAATTAAAAGCTTAACATAGACCCAAAAACCTTGATGTTTACAAGATATTGCCGACTGTGACTTACTGTAGCAAGCTCTTTTTGTGTTAGCTTCTTTCCAAGTCTTCCCTGTTGAATCAGTTTGCCAACATCCAGTGCCACTCTTTCATCTTAAAAGATAAACAACATCCCTTGTAATATCAGAATGCATTCCACAGGTAGACCACTATTATAAAATACTTGTAAATAAAGAAAGGTTCCTTTTTAAGGGTGAACTGTTTCATTCAGCCATTTCATTCTTTCCTTTTTTCATTTTTCATGTATAAAGATTAAAATAGGAGTTCAACATACGATGTAATTCCTCCGTTTCTCTGTCCAGTTTTGCTGTGTCTTTGTTTGCTGAATGTTGTTTGTTTCCACCTGCAAAGACTTTAATGTGAAAAACTCTATCAGAAACATAAAGAAATAATATCAAAATAACCCTAACCCCTTGGACAACAGAAGACAGGGCTGACAAAGAATGAGGTGATTAAGGGACTGTGTGACCTATTACACTGGATATGTCAATATTCAGCTTGAAGAGGCAATCTGGACAAAAGTGGTGTTGATTCATGACAACATGGATGATGATGATGATGAAACTTCATTCATAAGCTTTGCTTGCTGATGCAACTTTCTGGTCAAACATGAAATTTATAAACTGTTTTGTACTGGTATTTTGCTTACATTTTTCAGTTGTTTCGACCCCTTGGCCATGTCTTTGTGCCGATGCTATCGCCTATTAAAAGAAAAAGAAAACTACTTACTTACGATGTCGGCCATGATTCATTGATCACTAAACTGATTCATGAATGAATTCAAAAGAAGTTATCGGGATCCTAGGGTTTGAAAATTAAAATTTTCACCTGTTTTGAACGCATCTCTGCTGCTCTTGGAGTTCTTTTCTTAAGGTACGTAACAGAATCCCAATCAGATTCAGCCATATTTACTTATTTTGATCTAGTTTCTTTRTGAGACTTGTACTTGATTGTATTGTGGTTGATTTTGATCACGATGATGAATCCCTCGCACCACGCATGCTCTTACTCTCATACACCAACCACCAAACATCGTGGACTCAATCAAGATGGCGGACAACGATGGTCACATAAAGAAAAAGAACGTAGAAAGACTATTTCGATATGTAAAAGATGGAAGACTAAAGCGTGTTCGATCGCTCTTGAAAAGACATAAAGTAGACTTAAATTTTCAAGACGGAAAAAAGAGAACAGCTCTGCATCTAGCTTGTATTCTTGGGGAAGACGCCATCGTCAACGTTTTGCTACAACATGGAGCAAGTAAAGAATCTAAAGATATAGACGGAAACACTCCTTTGCATTTAGCTTTAAATTATGCTTTGCAGGTGTTAGAAAAGAGAATCTACGATGAATTAATCATTCCCTTATTGCATTCAAATCCTAACATTGAAAACGATTCTAATGATCAAGGCGAATCACCAAGAGATTTGATYAAGAGATTTAAAAAAGAGTTGAAAAGAAAAAGGGAGGACAGAAAGATTKTCGAGGAAGAGGAAGAACTTAAACGTGAAAAGTCTAGAGAAAGTAAAGAATGGAACGAAAAGTTGTTTTTTGAGTTGGGCAACGATGACGTAGATTTTACTGGCTTTACACGAAAATATGACGACAAGGATTCCAGAAGAGAAACATACGATCAATGGGCAGATGGAATTGACAGAGAATATTACTATCGAAAAAAATGCTTACACTCCAAACAGAAAGAAAAGATATGTGAAGAAAAAATTCGCATTGAGAAAGAAAACGAGGAGAGAACTCGTATGTTGGAAGAAAATCATCGCAAGTATCTAAACGACGTTTGTAAGAAACGAAAACAGCTGAGACTTGAAGAACTCAGATCTAACTATGAATCTCGCTGCACTACTGTGTTTGCACAAGATATGATTACCAAATTATCATTTCATGATATTCCATGGCCTTGTAAAGGGACATTAGAGGAGATGATCGAAATGATATCCAAATGGATTTGTCATGATGAAGATGGAAAAAAGTATCTTAAAGAACAGCAAATCCGATGGCATCCCGATAGATTCTTCCAGAAATGTGGAGACAGGTTGATAGAAGATGACAAAGAAACAATACTAAATTATGTAAAACAACTGTCTCAGGGTATAAACATGTTGTTAGATAGATGATTTATTAACTTTATTTTCTAATTGATATACAATAATATTACAATACTATCACATCCTACACTGGTATTAGTTCTGATCATAATGTTAGCATTTTGGCTTGCACTTCTGTGATTAGCAAAAATTTAATATGGAAGACAATGAGAAACTGGACAAATAATAACTATTAGGAGCAATTATAGAATACCCCACAAGTGATATGCAGTTGTCAGAATTTTTTGTAGAACGACACATACAACAATAGAAGTTGTGGTTATTAAATATGTRCAAATGATTGCAGGGTATTCTATAATCATACAAACTACATAATATCTTACATGTAATACAGAATTAAAACAAAAAGGTTTTCTTTCATAGGAAGCAGATCCTGAAACCTTGACACAAGTATGTTTTCAAAACAGTTCTTCATGTGTGGGTGGCATTGTCCTCTGCATTGCCAATCTCTCAAAAAAATGAACAAGAGAGGATGCAACTTCAAGAATGATGGCATGCGCACATGAAAAACYATTTTGAAAACATGCCAACATCATTGTTTCCATGTCTGTGTTCTCTATCAATTAAGGCCGCCACCTGGCAAGTGATCTTGTAATGGTGGAACTCGTACTGTCGTTGTTGTTGGTACAAGTTTGAATTTATAATTACAATTAACATTTTTTTAAATATTGAAATAATGTACAAAGTATGACACGATTATCTTTTACTACTACAAAGTRCTTCAGGCTGGAGTTCATGGGTCGAGGTGCAGACTGTGGCGGCTGACAGGGAAAGGTAAACTCTGTAAAAGCCCTATGTGGCATGAGTCGTGAGGAGGATAGGTAACAGGTAACTACTTAATAGATAATTACTGAGGCACGCAGCATTCGTAGGTATAATGCAGGCAGCTGAGGGCGTAGCCTGCATTATACCTACGAATGCTGCGTGCCTCAGTAATTGTCTAGTATAATTAYTGTTCTTATCAAAATCTAATTGTTTTCTTTCTAGCTTGTTTATCATAGAAACAAAGCCAATAATGAATGAACTAAATATGTCTGATTTTCCTCTATGCATTCGTTGGGATAATGCAGACTGAAAACAATGGATTTTGATAAGATCAGTAATTATATAGTGTGCTTAACTATGGACTGTCAGAGTATCCCAGACAAAAAAATTATCGAAATAAATGTCAATATTAGATTCTAAATGAATAAAAGGAAAAATTATGTAATGGACAGTAGAATATTATGAAACACGGAGAACAATGGGAAAAGGTTTGTTGAAACCCTTCTAATATAAATCTTCCAACAATAACCCTATCTATCAGGAGTACTTTGATAAYGCCTTTGCCTTGCTTTTTCTTTACAATATTTCTTGTGACTGGGCCAGTCTCTCTAAGATAAACAGAATAAATAAGAATTTTAAGAATAAGTAATCCATGCATTTTATTACAAAAGCATATGTTTGAGGGACGTAGAGGATGGGAAGAGATTTTRGATTCTGGCATTTGGAGGGTAAAAATTAAGTTGGTGTTTTTCAGAAATGTCAAGGTTAGATCTTGGTTTTTTGAAAAAGAAATTTACTGATACTGAATTATTATAGAACTTCTCATATGAGTGGGAAACATAATTATGGTACTGACTTACAGCACGTAAATGGAGGGACAAGCCATAGCAGTGAATTGGGTTTTCATGGCCAAGATTTCATTATCAGTTACACTTTTGGTAGAGTGCAAAYCATACAACTGTGAAATAGCACAAAAGCTAAATAGCACTAAACACATCTATTTCTTTTGTTTTTGGTACTATTTGGAACTCAGTACTATTTTACAGATATATTGTTTGCACTGTAAGATAAGGGCTACGAATTTGCATTGCTATATCTATTTCCACCCACAAGAGATCCCACTCTACAAGCATACATTACAGGCAAAATGGTCCAAGTTCCATAAATCATGAGGCACARCTAGGAAACTCAATGATCAATACATACCTGTTGACAAAGTGTTCCACAATATCGAACTTGTTGACAACGACCACAAATGCTGAATTCTTGAAGCTAGAGGATTAAGGAAAAAGTTAAGATGGAAAGCATAGGTAGGTGATATGGATTCAATTCCCAGACTCAATGTCTTATGTGAGTAGATCAGTAAGTTGGTTCCTGTTTCCCTTCTGTGCTTCAAGGGTTTTYCCACCAGGTTCTCATGTTTTTATTCCTCTATAAATTTCAACTTCTAAATTCCAATTGCATCAGTGGATGAAGAGCCACTGAGGAAATGCTACTGTTAAATTCTACTTCTTTGTTTTAATTTTTTAAAATTAGATTTACACCCACTCATCAATTTAAAAAATACCTCTAAAACCTTCAGTTGTTGCAAAGACTGCCACATATTTAATAAGGTGCCTTTATCATCAAATGCAAGAAAGGAATAAAATAGTACAACTTACTAACCTCATGCTCTATTTTTGTACAGGGAGCAAAATGGCATTCGTAGAATGAAGAAGAATCTTCTAGAATTAATGTAATTAAGATACAATTAATAAATCCGTCACATGAAAAATGAAATTTTCAATTTTCTCCACCAGCTAGTCACCTACCTTCTTCTCTTACTAAATCTCCATTTGCATTATAAAATTTGTTGTAACTCGCATTGATTAGTTCCTGGTCAATGAAACTTCACATTAATATAATGAAAAACTAATGTGAAAAACTAATAAGTGACAAGCTAACGATAATTATTTAATTATAAARTATTGAATCATGATAAAATATCCAAAACCCACATGAAGAAAATCACTGAAAACCCCTCCTCCCATTTTTATTCTTGGTTCAAGTGAAATCTGTTGAGTGCATCATGAATGTCTCCATTGTCTGTTTTTGTGTGTATTAATTTATAATATATTCCTGTAATTATACATTTGATGGCAAAGTTTTATAACATATAATTACCTCATCTTGTGCTTCAAATGGTGGCAGCCTTGAAACAGCTGTCCAATACAAACTTTGATCRCCACTTGGTTCACTAGATCCACTTCATATTTCATTGCAAAAAAAAAACCAAGTTATGGTTAAAAATCTGACTATATGAGCTAGTATTCAAATAGCTAGTATATATAGCTAGAGCTAGTATACCATAGCATTCAAATTTGTAGTTCAGCTCACCATGCAATTTTTTCTTGGTGTAATCTTCTATATCTTCTACCATTTGTCACTATAGCTAAATTATGTAGTCGATTGTCTGTACATAAATTTGATGGAAAAAGTCATAATCAAAAATATTCTTAAAAWCAAATCAGTTCTAAGGTACATTGTGCAACACTTTATTGAAAGCAGTATACAGAACTTACCAACAGTTACACCATTTTTGTGCACTACTTTAAAACCAGGAGCAATTCCTCCACAGTGCCTTTCCCTGGGTCAATACAAAGTATAACCATGAATAATAATGACAATAAATATTGGAACATGAGCCCTTGTTATTCAATGATCTCTAACACACAAAAAACATTGCATTTTCTCATTAAAAAGTGGGAAATAAAAATTCAGCCCTCCTCACTGCCACTCTCTCCACCCACCCTGTATTTTTTAAATTGGCAAAAGAATATAACTAATGATGTCTTGCATACCAAATATAATCATGAAAATAACATCCTCTTGTTTTATCTTTGTTGATATCATATGCATATGCATAAATCTTGGCTCCGTTACCATCTCTATCTATATCAACCCTAGCCTAAAAAGAAAAACTATGGTTAATCATGCAGTTTGTTATCTTCACTAGCTACTAAACATATGATATAGAAGTCATTTACCAGCTTGGATGTCTGAATCACTTGCTGTTCATGTACTGAAAAATTAGACACTGAGTCTATGCATGCCWGCAAATGCGCCTGCAGTCCATCAACAGTTTCATTAACTATTTCAATAACGAATAGAAAAAGGCAAGCAAAGGATGGGTAGTTGTTTACCTTGGAAATTTGTGCCTTTTCTGGTCTTATTTTGTTCTGATTATTCTCWTTCTACAGTGGCAGATCCAGGGGGGTCGAAGGGGTCAACGGAACCCCCCTTGAAGGTTTGATCTTTTAGGTAATAGAAATATGTCATATAAATTTTGATAAAAGAATATTAGTAGTTTTGCGTTGGGTCGTGTTATTATAGCTTGGTCYRTTACTAGATAGTAAATTAGGTGATTAGAGCCAATTTTTTTGTCAAACATCTACTAAACAAAAGAGAATTATACACAGTTTAAGAAACGGAACCCCCCTTTGAAAAATCCTSGATCCGCCACTGTTCTATGTTGTTTAAGGCATTTTTAAAGCTTGGAATATGACCTTAATGATGAAATAAATAATAATTTCCTCAGGCAAAGTGTAGATTGGGTTCTCTCAATYTCTGTATAATTTGACACATGYGCATCTCGAGTGTCTGGGTTGAACKGTACATGGAAAAACTGTGCCTGAGGTCTGGAGTGACTTTTGACACAAATGACTGTGTGAAATACTCACCTCAAAACGAAATTTTTTAACTAGAGGTATATCTTTTTCATCAACTAAAGAATACTTGTGCTGCAATATATTAAAAGTATAGTAAGATTGTAATTGATTACAACTTAATAATACAAACTGGAAACCTTAGTGGCTAATTAACTCAATGCTATGCAATTTAAAGCTGAACAAATAGAGATTACCACATGTTCATGTTTGAGATGACTCCCCTGGATTTGACATGAAACTCTTGGTACCCTTCCCCCTCCCCCCTTGATTTCTGTCGGAAGTGTTCCTTGTATGTCCTCAACAGGGGGACCCCAATTGATCAGTAAATGAKTAAGCTTATATGGAGCTTATTGTTTTGCTTAAAGAATGGATATCGAAGATTACTGTAAAAGATATGAAATATCTTGTTATTAAAAGYAGTTATCCCATGCATTTACTTTCAAGCCAAAGATGGGAAACGTGATTCGTCCGTCATCCTTCATTTTCTCGCAATACCTTGGTTGRTATTGATTTCTGACAACCATGGCTGTAATACTCGCCTTATTTTATACTCGACTTCCTTTTGTTTAAAAGACAAAATAAAACGATAGATAACTAGATGTAATACAGCATATCGCTAGATATCTGTTATTAACTAAGAGATCTATATATAAGACAGTTTATTAGACAGTCCTCAACATGGATGGATGAGAAACACTACCCCAAAATGTTATAGATCTCACCTTTCCCCCTGCCTTTCCGATATAAACTATGCCAAGTTTTAGTCCCGGCTCCATCTTGATTCCTTTATAGAACTTTTGAAGAACTACACTGCCTTTTTTTGTCGAAACTTCGYGTAAAGTTTTTCTCTAATGTTTGATTGACTGAGGTTCTGTTTACCGGCTTGATGTGAGCCCGCGTTCACCTTAGTCAGCATTCATTTGCATGGAAACACGTGAAAACTTAAGTGGTTATTATTTTTCTTTCTTTATCAAAAAAATTTGTAACTCAAAAGTAATTTTAAAACGGATGGTTCATATACATATGTTCTTGAGTTAGCAATGGTCTATCGATGTCTATTTATATTTTGCTTTGATCGTGAGTTACGAATCAAGCCTAATTAGTGCGCGCGAGCAGCTACCGATGAATTATCGATTGCGTAAAGCCACTCCGACCGCTCTCCGAAAGTATAGTGGTTTGGAAGAACTAGCCAAAAGAATTGGTTTGTGCTTTCTTGATTCCTAATATCTTCCTGGAGAAAAATGGCTAATGAACAAAAGGAGAGATCAAGTAGGGTTGTTGTAGCTATAGATGGTAGTGAGCACAGCCAAAGGGCGTTTGACTGTAAGTAAACTTATAACAAACCTTGTAGATAAAAGTGTATGCCTAATCTAAGGCWGAAAAATGTAGGCTAAACGAGGATAAAAATGGTTTTTCACAGACAATAAATATACATGGTGTTTTTAAGGTAGATTTTTTCACTTTTCCAGCACAATGCTTTATCCTCTGAGAGAACAATATTAAACTAATTAAGGCATGCTTGGCGAGGCAACTAAGTTTATATGTATTGATATTAACCCAAATGTAGATAATCCATGTGTTGCAATTGTTATTCATTTTATAGGGTATTGTGAAAATGCACATAAAGATGGCGACAGTGTGATGTTGATTCATGCTAATGATATATCTGATCGTCAGATTCAATTACATCCTTGTGAGTATATGTTAACTTGCCTCTTCAAAATCTTAACCAATAGTTCACATCTTCCACTGGCCTAATTAAATTGAATAGATCAACTCTTATTGATGGGTTGCAAGCATTCCCAAGAGAGTTAAAAGACAAAAATATGGYGGCCATTGTGGTGCCGTTAACAATGGATGCTAATGAGAAATCTTTTGTTAAATGGTACCAACATGGCCGCGATGACGTAATGTGCAAACAAAGAATTACATTCATTACAYGAGAGTTGGAAGGCAGTGCTCGTGGGCTAATTTAGGGTGGAGCCCAAGGCAAATGGGTTGCATCCCCCTTTATTTTTGTTAGTCAGAGGTTCCATTAATTATGAAGATTTTCTTTGTCCAATTCTTATATTTTACAAGCAATACTCCCTGTACAGGGCTCTTCCGTGAGGTTCCCTTCACACGCACTACCACTACGTTCTATATTTACAATATACAACGCTCAACTCACATGTTTATTGGAAACAGGAAGACCTGGAGAAAACCCTCATGTTGTTGTGAAGTGTGATCGTGAAATAAACTYAACTCACATATGATCCAGTCTGAGCYGGGGCTCACTTTGCCTCTCATTCCTGGATCTATTGCATACCAAAAAAAACATGAGTAAAATAAAAAACACAAGAGTAATTACAGCATTGAGGGGTGTCTGGTACACCCCCTGGATACCCCCCCAACCCCACCAGTACAAGTTTGTGTTATAAAGATAAATTTTAAATTTCAAACGTTCAATTTCAATGTAAATTAAACTAAGGCCATTTTTATTATGAGAGTAGAATTATGTAAAGGACTCCATTCCTGTGATGAATATATTAAACAGTTGTGAGATATGGACTTAAAACACTCATTAATAAGTCATAAGCTATGAGAATCACTTCATCAGGAATRAAGCATGCATCCAAGTTTAGATGAAAACTTAGAGTCATAGTCAACCCTAAAAATATTYGACTATTGTGCCTTGGCACGCAATATCTATTGAATCTGGTTGCRCATGCCCGTGAYGTCAAATCTCTATCAAAGTATAAAAATCCATGTTCGTGACGTGTATGGTGGCTCCAGTTGAACCAAAATCTTATAAATTGTTCAAGAGTGTCTTAAGCGGTTCAAAAAACTCATAGATTGTGTTTTGTCAGGTATAAAAGCACGAGGCATAGCMAAGTGCTTTTATACCTGATAAAACACTCCTACTCGTTTTTTAAACACTACATAAAACCCACTGCAATGACTCAAAAACTAATTTCAAGAGAGTTGTATTGCTTCTTAATTATTGTCAACCTTTCTGCTTGTTTATTTTGATTCTAACTTACAATAAGGATTTATTTTGGTTTTTATTTCTTTTAGATGGATTAGCTACAGTTGAAAGCTGGGATAAGTGGATAGAAAGATGTACAGAAGATTCAAAGAAGTTACTCTCTACTTTTGAAGAGAAGTGCAAAAAGCTCAAGGTAGGTCACTATTTTAATTGTATATTCTCACATTACATTAAGTACCTTTGTTTTTTAAAGAGGTGGGGGCCAGTAGGATTTTAGAGGGGGTCTTAACAAAACAAGCTCAAARGGGGGGGGACACACAAAAGAATTAGAGTTCCACAGCCGTTTTGTAATAAATGTGGAAAATATTTTTTATTCAACAATGGAGCAGGGGTCAGATTTTAATCGGTTACCAAACAAATCCCACCCCCCCCCCTGAACAGTCCCTTGTGAAGGTTATATTGTTGAATATTATTTTATTTTCTATTATTCACGAATGTATTGTAATATTTTATTTCAGTACAATTGCAAGCTTTTCACTCAGATTGGTAACCCTCCTGAAGTGATATGTAAATTTGCTGAAGAGAAAGATGCTGATCATTTAATTATGGGTTGTCGTGGTCAAGGTTCTATACGACGTACTCTCATGGGTAGTGTTAGTGATTACTGTGTTCAGCATTCCCATGCACCAGTTACTGTAGTTCCACCAGCAAATAGAGAGCATCATGGATTCCATAACTAGTTTATACTCGGCTATTATCATAATATATGGCTTGAGTACGAGAGGTATTTCTAKGTGCAGTGATCTTTGTGTTCAACACAGTCGCTCATTTTCTTTCAGTTAGTATATCATTGGGGTCAATACATGAATAAATCATCCTTTCTGCAATTCATTTGTTTTTTTGTTTTTTCAATTATTTTTTATTAAAAATTGCTTCTTTTTTTTCTCTATTTTCCTAAATGAATTATTCATATTGTACATTAATTTAGTCCATCTTTGACCATTACATTTCCCTCAATCTTGTTTTTGGCTCAAGATGCATTCTTGTACCAGTTGTTCATGGCGGTACAGACTGTATGAGAGAGAGAGGGAGCCTCTCGAATGCAGGTTACTTACTATGTCACCATGTTTCAATCAAATTTTATTTATTTTTTAATGGTTGGATATTATCACTTTCTCAAACTGCTTTTTGATACAAGCATGAAACTAACATCCTAAAAACATTTGTTATATAGAACACATTTCACTGATATCTGATAAAATAGAAGCAGCAGTGTACTTAATTGTACAGTGTTACTTTATACACTTTTTAAATTTCTTATCACATAAAATTATAAAGTATTTACTCTTTTGCCTTAAGAATTTAAGAAAATAACTTATTTTTGGGCCTTGAAGATAAATGAATTAATAGTAAATTAATCATAATCTAAAAAYCATGGTTTGGAACTGAGCACTCACAAGTGGGCATTTGGAGCCATACTTCTTTCTATCTTAAAAAGGGTGGGGTGTCAAACATCTTGCAAAAAGCTATTTAACAATTAGATTCACAGCCACAATAGGCCATGAGGGTTACAGAACCATGAGGGTGAGAGGTCTAATCATTTTAGTCTAAACCAACTTGTTTTGAAATTAGCTTCAAAACATGGCCTTACTGCTTTTTTTGGTTTTTTTTTGGGGGGGGGAGGGGGGTTTCGAAACCAGCAATTTTCCATACTAGTGTGGTCTATATCACGAATAGACCACTAGTAGCTCAGCCAACCAGAGTGCAGAATACTGAATGCTTGGACAGGATTCAAGATTTATAGACCTGGGCCAGGTTGTTCAAAGCTCGATTAGCGCTAATCCAGGATTAACTCTATAGGTCTTATTAAGAGTTAACCCAGGATAAGCACTAATYGGGCTTTGAACWACTGGGCCCTGCAATAGATGCACTTGCCATAAAAGTAAATTTTATTGGGTCTGAATTAATTTCTGTAAAAAAAAAGTAAAAACGAAAACAATGATATTACTGGATAATCAATGAATGTAGGTATTAAAACGTGAATATAGCATCTTATATTAGTATGCTACATGGAAAATAAAATTCTTAGTTTTCGATTTAGGAAATCATAAATAGAGTAGAATAAATATCTGATGCCAACCTTCAATCAAAAAAGCAAATGCTTGCTACATGTTTCTGCAAAAAGGGCAACACAAGCCTGTTATAGGAAAACTGTGTTTGGCTTCCTTTTCACTATCTTATAAAGACAGGGAATGTCTAATTACTGGTATGCGTATGATCCATATTAGCATGCATTAAGCARTTTTTGTGGCTGACATGACAATGCATATTACAGTATGTGTTCTTCTTTAAAAACATGGTTTTTAAAAACTTCGTTATCACAACCCTGATAATATTAATTTTGCTTGTTATGCCGACATATGTCTAGATATTAAATAAGTCTCTCCTGATTGGGTGGTTTTAACACTGAGTTCAACTCTACTCTTCCTCCATCCATTTCTTGTTTGCTTGGACTATAGGTACCATTGCCTGCTCGTTTTTTATACAATACTACTAAAATTAAAATTAAAAGAATGAGAAGTATACACGCAGCTATCACTCCAATAATTAGTCCTATAGGCTCTTCTGCTTTGTGTGTCAAGGGTTCAGTAACTTTAGGAACTTCACAAAACCTYCCTACATACTTATCAGTACAATTACATGTGAAATTTCCATACTCAGAGATACAGGTACCTTGGTGTTGACATTTGATATCTTTACAATAATCAACTTTGTTCTGGCAGTTTGCACCTGTAAACCGAGGTTCACAAGAACAATTGTAACCTGATGATAGACTTCGGCATGTTCCTCCATTYATACATGGATTGGAGTCACATTTGTCTTTAAACTCACTGCAGTTCTTCCCTATGTATTTCTCTTCACATTGGCAATTGTAGTCATCCATTAAAGGCTCACACAGTGCATTGTTTTTACAAGGGTTCGGCTGACAGTATTTCMGTAAACCACTGCAATTCATGTTTCCAAAGCCTTCAGTACAGTTGCAATGATATTTATTGTAKGATATCCTACTGCATGTGCCATTGACACATGGAGATGTATCACARGGGTCAACCAGCTTGTCACAGTCCTGTCCWGTGTAATTAACTGTGCATTTACAATGATAACCAGGGAAGAATGATTGATTTGGAGTGTGACTATCTATGCAGGTGCCATTATTTTTGCATGGACTACTTGCACACTCACGGATATCCTCAGTACATGTCATTCCTTCCCACCCATGAAAACAAGAACAATAAAATCCAGTAGAGTTTCCACTGCAATTTCCATGGCGACAGGGCTTTCCTATCATGCACCACTCGGTAGCATTATATGCACAATTTCTTCCATAATAACCTTCTTTACATTTGCATTCATATGATCCTACAGTGTTAGTACAGTTATTTGAACCAAGTTTGTAACATACTTTTAGGTCACACTCATTGATATCATGTTGACARAGTGTGCCATTAAATCCTTCGGTACAGTTACATGTGTACTTATTCACACCGTCAACACATGTTGCATTGTTTGTACAGTTATTTCCAACACAATCATYAATGTTGATCTCACAATTTCTGCCAGTATAGCCAGTAACACAAGAACAACTGTAGTTGAGATGAAGGTCTGTACAGTTGCCTCCATTCAGACAAGGTGATGGTGAACATTCATCTGTTRCTTYCTTGCACTGTCTTCCCTGATATCCTGCTGGGCACTGACACACAAACCTGTCTTTACCAAAATCACTGATTTGGAAACTGCTTTCCAAATGTGCTGTCATGTTGTTGGAACATGTAGCATTATTAAAACATGGTTGGTGGGCACAYGTCACGTTAGCTGTATTATTGCACTTTAGTCCTGCATATCCTTCTGGGCAAGTGCAYTTAAAAGCATCCCAAACATCTGAGCAATTGCCACGAGTACAGGGTTGGAACCTACATACAGCATCACTTTGACAACCAAGAGAAACACCAGTCATTTCCRCATCAAAATGAGGCTTCAATGGTGTTACATGACTGACATTGTAWCTTGAGTTGTAGTACTGTTTGAATGGCAGCAAAGCCCCACCTACTCGCAGGTTGTCAAGACAACCTTTGAAAGGCATTTGTGTGTCAGATCCAATATAAAGAGATGTCATATTAAGAAGGTTTTGAAGAGCCTGTTCAGTTAATGGTGGTTCTGAAAAGCTTTCCACGGTTCCATCGATCTCCAGCTTAGCTGAATTTGATAGATTGACCATTACTTTGTGCCATTTACCATCGTTTATAGCCTTTGCTGTAAAGAGTAAATATACAGAATAATGACAGTGAAATCAAAAAGATCTGGCTACTTGCTATGTGACCAGGTGTTGATAGGTCACATAAATCTCATGATTGAAAAAGTTTCTGTACTAAAAGGTTCTCCCCAGGAGTAGCCCRGATGCAATGCAGGCTACCCAAGAGATGTTTTGAGATAAAAAATTTTTTCAACACATATTAATTAATGTATTTACCTGATAAGATATTTCCTGATGCGCTCTCAAGATCATACGTTACATTTAGAGTGCCATTGTCTACTCTGACTATTAGCTTCTGATTATTTTGCGATGCAGTGAATATTGTTCCATGATTCTGACGGGTTCTCAGGCTAAACGAGAAGTGTGGCTTAAGAGTCAAGTGGGAATWAGAAACCAATGTAAACTTGGCTTTGCTGAGGCTTGCATTAAATGTAGCAGGACTGACACCTGTGAAAWAAGAAAATGTGGCTTTATGAATACAGAGATTCTGGAACCGGGTACTAAAGATGTTCAAGTTAGGATTCCGTTCTTGTTCTTTAAATGTAGAATGTATTATAATTGAGTTTTACTTGTGCGTCAAGCTTTTCTGAACTTATTAACAAGTACACAAAAGTTCCCTCACCCAATCACATCCTTTTTAACTATCATACTTACACTCAAACTGTCCATTATCAAYATCCATRCATTTGCTTCCTCCATCACATGGTTGTACCAGTGAGCAGCCATAAAGTGAACAGTTTCTTCCACCATAAAATCGATTACAGTAACACTTAAAATCATTCCAAGTATCTTCACATCTTCCTTTGCCTCCACAAGGAAAAGAAGCACACATATTCTCTCCTGGACAGCCCTTACCCAAMCCTTGATTCTCAACAAGTTGGTAMCTGTCTAGAGATGTAGSGTCTTTGAAAAACAAGAAGAGCTTGTTGTTAARACGCATGTCTTGAATGCAACCACGCAAACCTTTCCTTGTCATGACAACATCTTCTGAGAACTCTAACCAATTTTTAAGTCCACCAAGGTATGTACTTGACAAATCAATAGACGAAKGTAAAGTCATACCAGATGCAGTTACATTATCAACCTTAGACTCATTAACATTTATGGAAATAAAGTGATATTGTCCATCRTTGACCTTTGGGTTGAGAGTTAACAAGTTCTTGGAGCCCCCTTTAGTAGACTGTACTGATATAGAGCCRTTAGAAAGGATCACCGTAATGTGGCCTGAAGCCCCAGTAAAAAAAGCTATCAAACCACTATTCTCTCTTGTTCTTATGAAGAAAGACAGCTCGCTCAACATGCCGAATGTTGTAGGAGTCGCAAACTTGGCGTAGCTTGTGTTAAGATTGGACTGTACCARTGACCTTCTTCTTCTTCTTTGAGCAGCATTGTTAAGTGTTGTCTGTGCACCAAATGTTCCTGCGATGAAGGCTGGTGGAAAAATAATACAATTTTAGCTTTACTCATCTTGAGCACCTAATCTCRTGCAAGAAAGAATAATTTTTGAATAGATAAACTTACTTTTATTACACTGGTCACCAGTCCATGGCCTGTTACATTCACATTTGTAATCWAGCCATTCATCGATGCATCTTCCGTTAACACATGGATTAGGCTGGCATACTGGTACACGTGGACACCCACTGSTGACATTAACAAGTTTTACATCACTCTGTGTTGGGATTACTGTCAGTCCATCAACCTYAACTGCACGAATACAGCCAATYAACAGCTTCATATTTCCWATGTTGGTTAGTCCACCAATAAACAGCTTTGACAAGACATCAWTGGATGAACGGCTCATCGTCTTTGTACAATCACTACAAGAAGAGTTGTCTRTGTTTATTTGAATAGATGTACTTGTCAGGTTAACAAGGACTTGATGCCAATGTCCATCTGTTAGGTTTGCATTAGAGCCAACAGTACAGCTTTCACTGTCAAAAGTCACTAACAATCCTTCTCYTTTTAACTGTATCAAGAGTTTCCCTCCAGAGTCAATTGCCAAGACTCCATATTTCAAAGTAGTCCTGAACTGTAATGATATAGTTAGGATACTTTTACCAACATCGAATGCCATGTAAGAAGAGCCATTCATGCTGATAGTCGTACTGTTTTCACAATTCTTCCCACCAAATCCTGGTATGCAGCTACAGGTGTAGTTATCAAGACCTTGATCCAAACATGTGCCATTGTTAAGACAAGGGTTGTTGGGCCGACAGCGAGAAACTGGGTACTCACAAAGACGACCAGTATAATTAGCTGGACAAGAGCAGTTGAACTCATTGATTAAATCATTACATGTAGCGTTGTTTTGACAAGGATCAGAGGCACATTCATCTATTTCTATGGAACAGTTGTACCCTGCAGAGTGAAACATGACATGTTAAACTATGTATTCTAATAATTTAAAACCACTTCTCTAACAGTTAACTCACCTGTGTAGCCAGGAACACAYGTACAGTTGAAGTAATTAACATGGTCATTACAAGTGGCTCCATTGTAGCAAGGGTTGCTGGCACATTCATTGATGTCTGTAGAACAGTTGTTGTCTGTATATCCAGGTACACATGTACAGTYGTAAGTACCATTCCCATTATTACACGTAGCACCATTCTTACAGTATCCTAATGCACACTCATCTATATCTTGATCACAGTCTTTTCCTTCCCATCCTGAGGTACATACACATGTGTACTTATTGATCCGATCAACACATATTCCACCATTTTTGCAAGGATCTCTGTTTAGAGCACAGTCATCAATGTTCAGGTAACAGTTTTTACCTGAAATCAATAATTCAACAGAGGAAAAATAAATTGCCTATTTTGCAATTGAGAAATAAAAATTGAAAATCACATTTATATAATACTGTGATAAGAAAAGAAAACAATAGTCATTTGACCTTTCAAGGTCAGTTCTTACCTGTCCATCCATAATCACAATAGCACCTGTATCCAGTGTAGATGTAGTTACTACACAGTCCTGTGTTACAAATAGTCTTCTTCTCACACTCATCAATGTCCAGTTCACAGTGGGTGCCATTAGTAAACTCATTACAAGCACAATGATATGAGCCAATGGTGTTCTGACATGTTCCTCCATTCATACAAGATGCATCTAAGGAAGAAATAAGTATGTGAAAAGAAAACATCGAATAAAGCACTTGGTAGTGTGCATGTATATAAAAACTGACATGTACCAAAACCACCTGTTACCATGTGGGGTGAACTAATGGAAGAGCCCCTTGCAGGAGTGATAATTCAAAATTATCAACATTGAACTTCTATTGAGAAGGTATTATTTCTGTTTTGGCTAGGGATTCCGTTCTTCTGATTCTTTTCAGAATTCAAACATGTTTCTTCATTACATGTGCTCTCTTCTTTGAAACTTATTGGGCAATAATAGTACTTCAAAGGTTTTCTCCCGTAGAAGAATATCATTGATTACTGAGTTTAAACAATAATTATTTGGCAAGTTTCCTTTGGATCTCACTGAATTGAATGAAATGTTAAATCTTGGGGGAAAATGCTTCAACCGACAGAACAGCAACTGAATATCAAGACAAAACCTATAAAAATATGCATACAACTAGATTCCTACCAACAAAATTCTTAATCTGAATCAGAATCCAAAAGAAGCAGCTGATTCAAGTGGCATTTTGACTCATTAAATCCAGACCAAGATGATTGTGCTGAATTATTTCCAGCAATGGCATTCAAAGTTACATTTGGAGCTAGTTAAATTGTACACATTTGGGACTACTTGAGTGTTCTTTAAGAGGCCCATTTACGGAAAACATTTATCCAAACAACAATGTTTTAGATTTCTTGTGGTCTCTTCATCTGCCAATGCAAAATGGAAACCATTTTGTCTTGCAAAAAAGAAAAGTTTACAGTTTGAAAGCGTTGCTAGGAAACTGAACTACCAATCATAATCTAGTTATACGGCCATGCGAATTACTGAAAAAATAAGCCCTCCTTCATTAGCCAATCAGCATAGAATAATTTTGCCCCGTATGTGATAAGCATTATAACCTACATGTTGAATATAAGGACAAGGAATGAAACTCAAATTGGACCCTCGAATAAAATTGCTTAAAAAATTAATGCTATGCAGCATCTCAGTATGAGAACCTGAATGCTTGTGCTTTTTTAAATGTGTTAATCAGCAATAGTTAAACACCTGATAGATTTCATTCCAAACATTGTTGCTGTGGGCTCCCTGTGGTTTGGGGGAGACAACTATATATCATAAGTATATTGCATCATACTCACTATTGAGACACTCATCTATGTCTCTATCACAGAATTCTCCTTGAAATCCTTTGTTGCATATGCAGGTATAATTGTTAACACCATCTACACATGTCCCATTATTACATCCATGTGATGGACAGTCATCTATGTTGATCTCACATTGTGTACCATTAAAACCACTCAGACAATGACACTTGTAATAACCAATCTCATTAGAACATGTTGCATTATTCTTACACGGGTTGGAGGCACATTCATCAATTTCAATCTGGCAGAAATCACCATGGTAACCAGATGGGCATTGACAGGTGTAGTTATTGATTCCATCAATACAGGTTGCATTTTGCACACATGTGTTTGACTGACAGTCATCAATGTTTATGGAGCAGTTATGTCCTGTAAAGCCTTGTTGACATGTACAATTGAAGTCATAATTATTGACCAGAGATAATCTACATGTTCCGTTGTTCTCACATGGATTGGGATAACAAACATCCAACTCACATCTACAAACAAAACACAAGTAATATATTAAATACAAATTCATGGATTTGTTAATAATGAACATTCCAGCAACTGGATATCACAATTTGTGAAAACATTATCACATGCATTTAAAGTGAATTTT